ATATGTTCCGACCCGGCTAAAGATCCTGAAGTGCCGAAGCCAAGGCGACTCCTTCGTTTCACATCCTGGTCTTGACAACCATCGCGGCTAAATCAACTTTCTACAGACAGCTATAAAGGTACGTCGAACGAGTGCTCTGAGAGACTGTGAACTACAAGACTCAGAACTTCTATTTAGTATTCGCTGATCTACCATGGCTCGCCTATCTCAGTTCCTTCTGGCCTGCGCTCTTGCAGTCAAAGCCTTCGCTGCCCCCGCCGCCGAGCCCGTCGAGGAACGGGGCCCCAACTTCTTTTCTGCTCTTGCTGAGCGCTCGACTGGCAGCTCCACTGGCTACTCGAACGGCTATTACTATAGCTTCTGGACCGATGGCGCAAGCGGCGATGTTGAATACAGCAACGGCGCCGGGGGGTCCTACAGCGTGACCTGGTCATCGGCCTCGAACTTCGTCGGTGGAAAGGGCTGGAACCCTGGAAGTGCTAAGTAAGTCATCGATCGCTGAGCAATTGCTTAACTATTTCTCCGTCTCTGGGTTTCTCCTCTGAAACACATGAATTGACCCGTCCTACAGTGACATTACGTACTCCGGCTCCTGGACCAGCACAGGAAATAGCAACAGCTACCTCTCCGTCTACGGCTGGACCACCGGTCCTCTCGTCGAGTACTACATCTTGGAGGACTACGGGGAGTACAACCCCGGCTCAGCTGGCACTTACAAAGGCTCGGTCTACTCCGACGGATCGACATACAATATCTACACGGCGACCCGCACCAACGCCCCCTCCATCCAGGGCACGGCCACTTTCACGCAGTACTGGTCCATTCGCCAGACAAAGCGCGTCGGCGGTACCGTGACGACTGCCAACCATTTCAATGCCTGGGCGAAGCTGGGAATGAATCTGGGCACGCACAACTATCAGATCGTCGCTACTGAAGGCTACTACTCGTCTGGGTCTGCGTCCATTACGGTTGCCTGAGAGCGTGCAGATATCCTGCTGCGATATATGCTGTATCTCTGGCACCGTTTCTGTGATGGCAATGAGTGGATGAGGAAGTTGGCTTGTTCGTACATGAGCAGGGTGGTAGTATAGGAATTTGGATGAGCATTGGATTTTGAATTATTTTTTATTCAATCTCAGCCTCCAGTTTCGTAGCAACAAGTATTTTTTATTTGTTTGAAATTATGCTGTAAGAATCACGAGCTGTGGCCTGTAGAGTAAGGAGATAAAAAGGGCGAACTTGTACTGCCGCGATGGGATCTTCCCGAAGTTCTCTTGCCGGGGAGCTCGACCATCCCTCCTCCAACTTTCCCTTGCGACCACCAGCTTTTCAGAACTTCTTTCTTGCGTCTCACCAATTAGCGATATCTGTTGAATCATAATGCATTTCCTTACTCGCATCCCTGAACCGACTGAACGTGTCATTCACGATAACTACTCCTGCCTTCCGACAAAAAAGGATTCTTCCTGACTCTCTCCGGTGCACTACATTACCTTTTCATTAGGATTGTTACTCCGTCTTCTATATAATCGGTGGATCATTAGCTCTTCGTCTCAAAGCATTTGCTGTGTGAGATCACCTCGGAAATGATAGGCGGCACATACATCCCGTCTCATATCCCGTGGAGATTTGCTCCGAATGTCACACTGGGGCCCCAATCATACTGTTATCATGACCGGGCAATGATTTTTGTTGGTCCTTTCCCAACACTGACAAGGCAGTTCCCAGACTTATGACGAGCTGACGTTCCCCTCAACAGCTCCCGCTATTTAATTACTCCCTCCCCGAACGACCATCTGATAAAAGCCAAGTTTCTTTCCGAGCCTCGATCAGATAACGAAACCGGCGAAGGGAGTTCTTCGACACACATTCTTTGACAATGTCTACTCCAAAGTCCGACCGTGATGCATCTCAGGAGGTCCCCCAACCCGAGTCATCCGCTATGGCCAGTTCCGCTGGAGTGAAGAAAATGGAGGTCCTCCACGAAGGCCTGTCTAGAGGTATCCGTGCTTTGGTCTTCATCGGCCTCTTCCTCGTCGCATACGTATACGGCCTGAATGGCCTCGTACGGAGCACATACCAGGTTCTCTCGCTGTCTGACTCCTTCTACATACCAGATACATGCTAATATTCAAGTGATGGTTCCATAGCCGTATGCTACCGCTTCCTACAAGACCCACAGCCTCCTCGTGACCGTCGATATACTACGGGCTGTTGTTGCTGCAGCAATTCAGGTACACCCTACGCTCTTTGCTCATGCCGTGTCACTAAGACCACCCGGGGTAGCCCACCGCAGCCAAGACCGCAGACGTCACTGGGAGACCCGAATTGATTGTTGTGTCAATCTTCTTCTACACCATTGGTATGAAGGTGCTTTCTAGCGTCGGCTCACAGCCACTAATGCGGTTCCAGGCACTGTGGTCGAGGCTTGTTCCAAAACAGTAGAACAGTTTGCTGCAGGTGCGGTGCTGTATCAGGTAAGATGAGCCTTTTGCTCCCATAGTCTGCTGATACTGACGATTGAACTGGATTAGGTCGGCTACACACTTATCGTACTGCTTGTCGAAATACTTGTGGCGGATCTATCATCCCTGCGAAGCCGTTTGCTGTGCTCCTATATACCTGCGATTCCTTTTATTGTAAGCGTGGCCCGTTAAATTGCATACGATGTGTCGCCTAAGCCAGATAACGCAGATCAATACACGGGTCAGTGGAGATGTTGCTGCAGCTGTTCTGCGTGCGACTAGTTGGCGGTGGGGTGTCGGCATGTTTGGAATTCTCTACCCAGGTAAAGATCAGCTTGACTGGAATACTTGAAAGTTACTGAAACATCATCAGCCTGCACTGTTCCCCTACTGCCTACGCTATTCATCTCTCAATACGTGATGAAGCGGAATGGAGACTACCACGGGGCTCAGAGAACCCATGGTGCCTGGCGCGCGACAAAGGGATTATTCTGGTACATGGATGTGATTGGCATTCTCCTGCTGATTGCATGTCTCTCCCTCATATTAGTTCCCTTCACCATTGCGGGGGGCTTCAGTGGGCGTTGGAAACAGGCCAAAGTGATTACACCTCTGATATTCGGGATACTATGTCTACCGGCCTTCGTTTACTGGGAGCGAAGATGCGCGCATCCATTAGTCCCATTCAAATTACTAAGGGACCGAGCTGTCTGGGGAGCATTGGGTATTGCGGTGATGCTTAATACAGGTATGATGATGGGGTTGACTTTGATCAAGATATCTGCTTACGGTTTATTATAGCCTGGGCTTTGCAGGCAAGTTATCTCTATACTGTGCTCGTTGTTAGCTTCGGTGAGAGCATTAGCAGTGCGACGAGGATACACTCGCTTTACAGGTACATATCCGGACCTCCACAATAACATGTGCTGACCATGACCAGCTTTGCCTCTGTCATCACTGGCTTCTTACTAGGCTTCGTTGTATACGGAGTCAGACGCCTCAAGCCGTTCATCGTTGCAGGTACCCTCTTGTTCATGATTTCGTTCGGCCTATTGATCCACTATCGCGGGGGACATGCTTCATCAAGCCACTCGGGCATCGTAGGGGGACAAGTGCTTCTAGGCATAGGTATGTCTTACCCAGTTGTCCATACCAAGACACCCGTACCTGATATATCGTGCAGCTGGTGGACTCTTCCCATATTCCGCCCAGGCCAGCATCCAGGCTGCTACCAAACATGAGCGTCAGCAAATACTCTCCGCCCACCCCTTCCCTCCTTTTTGTGAACAAAGCTTCTAACACAATCAGACCTCGCGGTCGTAACCGCGCTCTTCATGACCTGCTACAACATCGGCAGCGCCCTCGGTGGCACCATCTCCAGGGCAATCTGAACGTAGGTTCTTCCCACGCAGCTGGAAGCCCGGTTGAACAACGCCACCCTGGCGGCCGAGGTATACGCGGACCCGTTCACGTTCAGCCTGCAGCACCCCATGGCAACGCCCGCCCGGGATGCAGTCGTCGATGCCTACAGGGATGCGCAGAAGCTGCTGTGTATCACCGGCATATGTCTCACCGTGCCGCTGATCGCGTTCGCTCTCTGCACCCGGAACACGAGGCTCACCAACGAGCAGAGCCTGGCCAATGCTGAGGAGGATTCGGAGTAGTGTTGTGTGTTGCAAAGCAGAGATATAATCTCAAAGATCATGTGTGCTCAAGGAATCGTTTGGGGTGAGGCTGTTGGTTGCATTGATCAGGTCATGGCGTCACTCTAGGCTGAGATATAGCCTGGGATGAAATACTAAAAGTCGGCGTTTGCCAGGGTCACGGTATGTAGCCGAGCCGAATTTCAAAACAATGTAGGCGAGTAAAGTCAGTAGCATCTAGAAGGTATAATTGGGGAGAAGCCGCGCAGGGGTGGTAGAGAAAAAAGCAAAAAGTAAGTGCATCATCCGTGAATCGAACACGGGCCTCATCGATGGCAACGATGAATTCTACCACTAGACCAATGATGCTAGTTACTTGAAAGGCACTTTAAATTTTGAAATTAGTAAGATTTTACCACGCTCTATAAGCGCCTTGCTGCAAGAAGCAAACATTTTTGAGGAACCTTATGGGCTAAATAGATATGATTATCTAATAATGTGACAGAAAATGGCTTCTTCTCCCTGGGATTGGTTGACTAAGTCTAGCAGCTTCCGTGACGTAGTCAGTGCACATGGAAAGCTAGGCCAAGTTGATCACAAACCCTTCAACAAAATCAATGGCGAAAAGTGAACAGGATGGGGTATTTGACGACTGAAAAGCATCATCTAGTTATCGAACTTGAAGGACTTGCCGCCAGGCATGTCAATGGGACCGCCACAATAAGATCCACGCTTCTTCTTGTTGTCCTCCTTGGTGAAACCCTTTCCCCGGGTGACAAACAGATCTGCTCGGCCTTTTCGGCGTACACATAGGGGATGAATTCATTCGATTACGACTCTCTAAGACGAGTAATGTTAGTACTATGGTCATGGCTCATGTGTAGAGAGTATCTTACTCCTCCTTAATGATTGTCCTTTCTATCTTCCTGTCCTCCCGGAAAGCGAGTATATTCTCTACCCGTTGCTTGGTTTCCGTAACCATATGTCGCAACTCAATGAGCTCGTTCTCTAATTCGACGAGACCTTGATGCCACTGCATCAATTCCCCAAAGTCGGGGGCCGCGGGGGCATCATGTTCAGGGGCGGCGGCAGGGGCGGCGGCAGCAGCATCCTGCTCCTGCTGTTGCTGCTCCCGCTGAGAGGCGTCCCTGAGGGCATGCACGGGGCCCCGAGGGCCGACCGTAGGGGGGG